TTTCTCAATACATTCAAATATTATTTGTGGGTTGAGATCGCTGCCTAATAGAAGATCTATTTGACCACGAGTGTTGCAGTTGGAATCTTGTTAGTTTGTGCCCTAGACGCTATAAATTATCGTTGTGTTACTTGGTCTATTAACGCCCTAAGCTTAAACAGTTCTCCTCGGTGCTCGATGGAGTCGTCTGCTGTGGGTAGTAGTAACCTACTTTGATTTTTGCTGTGTAGCGTTTGAGTTTTTAATGCCTTTGAGCAGCATAGAGCTTCTTGGGATTTGCTGTTGCAACTAAACCCTTGGGCCTTTTCATATTTGCGCTATTCGGGGGTGAGCTGGAAAATGTGCTGTTATGAAGCATTAAATGATGTCATTTAAGACAGTAAACGCAATCAAATTTGCTTCCGCACTCTTTAAGTGTATCCGCATGTGGCAGGCAGTTTGTGCAAAGATTTTTGGTTTTAAAAAAATGTTTCGGTCGATAATATTCAATTTTTTCCCATAGAAGTAATGATTTTTCTGGTAATGCGGCGGTGCATATGTTTACCAGTATAGGGTCCCAGCTGTCTGTGAGAATTTTCTGTGTCGATAAAACCGAAAAACAATTTGAAACAGTGAATTGAAGTTTGATAAATTCTTCACTTGTTTCCTTTTGAAATTTTTAGCAAGTTCATTAATATCGATATTTCTTTTCGTTTTCGTATAGTCATTTAGTGCGAACTGTTTTACTTTTACGCTTGCTTGACCATTTGTTTTGTATCGGAGGTGATATAATTTTTGTGGATTAGATAATTTTGGGTGATTTATGTAAACGGCTGTAAACATTCCTGGAAGGATGACCATTGTTCATAACTACCTGGAAATATTTCTGTGTCACATGCGGGCACCTTGAGATGAATGCCTGAACTTGCCTCAAACTGGTCTAAACAGTTTTCGTATTTGGAGAAAGCAGAAGATTTGAAATTTTCCGGTAAATATGATTCGTCAGATTCTACAATTGCGCCATAAGCCGCTTGGAGACGTGCCTAGAAAATGTCAAGATTTTCGTTTTTGATTTCTAATACCGATTCAGAATTGTCCTGAATCGGCGAAGTTGAAAATTCAGTACATTATCGCATTAGGCTGTCACTCTCAGAAATAAATTTGGTGTATGAAATATCTTTCACCCTTGTTTGCTTTGTAGCACCTTGCTTTGAGCGTGTAGCTTCTGCAGGTGTATATGGACTTTTTTTTTGACAGAAATCATCTTTGGAACTTTTAGCAACTGAGTTGTTATAGAATCTCTCGAGTCTGAGCTTATTTAAAAGATGTGTTGAATTAAATAAAAAGTTTCTCAGTGTAAACTGATGAAATTTTACAAATATTCTCGTATGTAAATATGTGCGTTCATTGAGACAAATTTAGAGCTTGTTTTTATGATACTTGATCCTCGCTTTAAACAAATATTTTTCAACCGAAGACTACGTTCAAATAACAATCAGGTTTATTTGATTTAGATAATTGAATACGAATTGTACCACTAAAAACCACGCGAAATGTGTTAACAAAAAATCCCCGAATCAACAGTAACGTACCTTCACATAACCTCGACTCCACTGTGTCCCCGGTAGCCTCCTTTTCACTCATTTTAATTATGATCAATGACGATAAGCGACAGGCAGCATCTGTCAAATATTGACATACACATGTTCTTATGGGCACAGTTATTTAGACAACACACAAAGACGACGGCACGATACGGCAGCTAATTTTTCTTGGTCGGCATATGCCGTCTTGAAGCCGGCAGCGATATATCAAACAGCAGACGCACACAATTTTTTTGTTGCCATACGCAAACCTCTCCTTATATATATTGTTCTATGTGAAATTTTTTGTGCAAAAATTAAGTGAATAGCTCGATTATTTTGTTTAAAATTATTATATTGTGACGAACACGGATGATAGAACAAAATCGAATCAACGATAAACTGCCAGAAGCAACTAGTTAGCAAATTCGTAGTTGCCAGAATATTCTAAAAGCAATGTTTTGTTACAGATTTACTATATAAGGGCTGCTGGATTGTGCAGCAAACACAGTTCTAGTTAGAGTGTTGTCGTGATAAGAACAATTGAGACATAAGCAAGAAGCTGTAAGCTCGAATAACGAGCAATAAGTGTTAAGTTGTTGGAATTAGAAATAAAGATAAGTGTGTAGCCATTAAATTGGGACTTTTATTTAACAATCCAGTGATCGAACTCAAGAGTGAGTTACAGGTAGACGATTTATCGAGAAATCCGTTACAATTGGTGTCAGAAGTGCGATTGTCAAATAAATTCCCAAGGAGATAATTATTTCGGAAGAGCTGGAACTGCGTATGTCAGGGCAGGTGTTCTCACGGTTGGAAGAGGAGGAAGCGTGTGAACCAGTAAAAGGTTCCTCACAGTTAGAAGAGCAAGAAGCTTGGACACCAGCACAAGTGTCCTTACAGTTGGAAGAGCAGGAAGCGTGTATACCATCACAGGTGGAAGATCAGCATAAAATTGAACCTGAAACGGATGACTCTTTGCAAGAACATCCCGAATTGGAAGGTGCATTACATGAAGTGGAGTTGAACCAATGTACAACGATTGGAGAAATAACTACAGGAAGGCCAGTCACAAAATCATATTGGACAGAACGGAGCAGTTTAAAGTTAGTGTATGGCTGCTTGCATCGAGTATGGAAAAACGAAAATGGGCAAACCTTCCGAGTACTTATGGTTGTTCCAAGGGTTGGAATTCCGGATGTTCTTAACGTGCTGTACAAATGTCCAAGAGGAGGGCACTTGAGAGGCATGAAATCCTTGAAGAATTTGAAGCAAAGGTTTTATTGGACTGGCTGTCAATCAGCTATTGCGATAGAATTTAATTAAGTAACCACATTCCGAACAAATGATGCTCTTTCAATATAGTCTATGGCTGTGAATGACGATGACATTCGTTACGCGCGTTTTTTAATTAAATGTATTTTTTCAATCTTTCTGAGACATTTTCTTAATATTTTTTTTTGTAAGAACCTTCTACAGAGTATAAGAAAACTACAAGAAAAAATTGCCAAATCGGTGTAGCCGTTCTTAAGTTATGGCGTGACAACGGGAAATGGGTTTCATTTATATATATATATATATATAGATATGCATATAACTCTGTATCGATCTCGATTAGTTTACGGTGTTACAAACAATCGTTAGGTGAACAAAACTATAATACAATGTTGCAACAGTTCCGAGAGTATAAAAATGGTGCATATGAACTCATCATTCGTTATTCGCATGTATTAATCAGTCGCAATCCCGGAAAGCATTGGAACATGGCCGTTTAGGGAGCAAATACAGGTTGGTTAAAAAGTTTCTGATTCAAATAATTCTTTGTTTACAAGCTATTTGAAGTTAATGTGTCAGAGTAATTTTTTTAATATGGAAAAAATGAAATATCGCGGAGTGATTAGATTCTTTGCTTTGAAAGGTTTAAAAGCAAAGGAAATTTGCATTATTGAGCAAGTTCATTATATTATTAGTGAATATCCAAGTTAGACCAGGCGTGAAATTGCTAATGCCATAGGCATCTCAGACGAACGAGTACTTCATATTTTACATGAAGAATTACATACGAAAAAGCTGTCCGCTAAGTTAGTGCCGCACACGTTAACAATTCAAAAAAAACTAGATCGAAAACAAATTTTTCAACATAATTTAGAGCGTTTTAAACAGAACTATTAACTATGGATGAGACTTGGATCTACCCCCATGATCCCAAATTGAAACAAGAACATTTACAGTAAACTGAATCTAGTTCTTCAGCTCCAAAGCAGATGAAGTCACAACGATCAGCAACAAAGGTTATGGCATCAGTTTTTTGGGATGCAAAAGAAATTTTGTTGATTAATTATCTGCAGAAAGGTAAAACAATGAACTCTGAATATTATTGCACCCTTTTGGATCAGCTGGGTGAAAAAATTCATATGAAAGGTTTGCAGCTCAAAAAAATAATTTTTCATCAAGACAATGCACCTGCTCACAAAGGTGTTTTAACAATGACAAAACTCAACGAATTAAAGTACGAATTGCTTGATCATCCATCGTATTCAGCAAGTTTGGCTCCCAGCAACTAATACATCTTCAGAAACCTGAAACAATTCCTTCGTGGAAAGCGTTTTTCGTTGAATGACGCCAGGAAAGTCATTATAGGCATGGCATAATATTATTGAAGGATCATTGGAATATATTGAATAAAAAAATATATTTCGTACCAAAAAAAATATTTTTTCATTTCGAGCACAGAAAGTTTTCAACCAACCTGTAGATCAATTTAACCGATTTTTAACAGCATCTGAGATAACATGTTCACTTAATGCCACTAAAATGTTGGTCCATATATTCAGCAATAGAATAGATAAAGGAGGCAAAATTACAAAAATTGGTATATGAAGAGTAAATAAGTCTACACAGATGTAATAAATTTTGTTTGCTTTAAGCCACATTGTGGGCATGTCCCTTTACTTCATTTAAACGTCACATGTCACGTTTGACAAGCCATCTTCACTAAATTTGACATGGATTATTGTCTAAGACAACGCTACAATCTCCGAACAAATTCTTTAGATCGGACCACTATAGTATATACCACCACTTGTATGGCAAACTGCTTATTTTGACAAAACATCTTCACGAAATTTGGCATGGATTACTGCCCAAAAGGTTTTTCCTAACCCTGTCCTATTAACTTCTTGTATTGAATCTTTTTTGTAATGAAGGGTATTATAGCTCCGGTGCAACCGAAGTTAACGTTTTTTCTGGTTTTATATTGAATTTATGCTATCTAGTAAAATAGGAAATTAGCTTAATCCATTAATGGTTCTTAAAATTAGTTTTTGTAATCAATTAATTGTTGTTTAAGGTTATATCGTTAATTTTTGATAAATCTCACTAATAAATATGAGAAAATCAGAAGTAACTTTTAAAATGATGATATTGATACACATGTTGTCAGTTTCATATGAATGACTTTGTTCTCCCTAACAATTATAACATTTCCAAATGATTATATATTATTTAATTTTGTGTTTAACACAACAAATTCAGATTTAACTAATAAATAAATAACTATAATGTGAAAGTTTTCAAAAAATACGATTAATTATTTTTAAATAAATATCAAACCTCGCTAAACAATATTTTTGATAAATTCTTATTTCCATAAATATGTGTTTTTATAAATAAAAAAAAAGAAGCTAACTAAACAAGCTCTCTGTTGCCTTTTCCAAATCCCAGTTTTCTTTAGACAAAACAGCCCGCGCATCATGTTCATCGATTCCCATATCTTTTAGGCGTTGAATTTTCGTATCACACTCAGTAAATTTGTGGGGACCTTTAATTTATAAACATTGTATATAGTAGTAAAATGTATATATTTTATTTACCTCCAGCATATATATTTGTCCAATGCTTAGCCGTCATAAGAAACAACTGATATTTGTCTTTATACTGATATGCTACAACTGCGTCTTGTGGATCATCAGGTTCGGCAGCAGCCAACAGTGCTTGAAGTGAGAGTAAAACAGTACGTAAGGTCATTGCAGCGGCCCTATAAAAATTTGATAAACGCAAACATTTTTGTTTTTAAGTTTAATGTATTATATTATTAATATACACACACACATTTTCGTAAATATACATACTATATATACCTATTTGTAGGGAACAGCCAAGCTTTAAGCCTCAGGCCAAGATTCGTTTCAGCCGAACAGTTTAAATTTACACCACGAATGTGAACTAAATGAATTACTTTACTCGGCTCATTAAATGGGTTTGAACTTGGGGAAGTAAATGCATTCCTGCATCCCCGAACAGGTTCGGTTAAACACTTCAGAAATACTATATGTGCATGTGTGTAATTTTTATTAAATATCCATAAACTATGTAAATTGAAAAACTCGAACCTTTAAACATTAAAAAAATCGGTTCACTTGTCGACTATTCTAAATATTCTGTATTGCGTCGACAGTATTTGGAACTAACCAAAAAAGTTATAATATTTACTTAAATAAGGTATAAAAGAATATTGTACGTAATCCAAAATCGTTTTATGATTTCGTTAACTCCAAACGCAGCATTTCCAAATTTCCGTCCGCGATGAAATACAAATCTATCACTTCATGTGACCTTATATAAAATATGTTTGCAGAATTTTTCGAGTCGCACTACTGTAATAATTCATTGGGTTTTAGAGAACATATGCATACGGATGTTATATACACAGACTTTAGAAAAGCTTTCGATAAAGTAAATCTCTCGACTCTCATATATTATTCATCCATTATTTTTCCAATAGATGGCGTTATTTATCTGTATCTCGCGTTGTATTATATAAATCCGATCGGGTTACGCTAGATGGCGTTGGAAAGATGACTAAAAAAGCTTTTCTGACAGTTTGGTGATTGGTTGATTCAGTTTTGTTTGAGCGCGCGTCAACGATGGACACAAGCAAAGACCAAATAAGCAATATTTTACAGTTTTTCTTCGATAAAGGCGAAAACGCAAGCCAGGCGGCTGAAAATAGTTATAGCTGATACTGTAATAGCTAATCAAGCGCAATTTTGGTTTCGTCGATTCCGTTCAGGTAATTTCGTTGTCAAAGATGCACCACGCACGACTGGAAAGCCAATTGTCGATAAAATCGTGGACATTGACAGTCCGACCGTCATGTAAGCACTGTTTCGATTGTCCAAAAGCTAAAGATTGCACAAAAAACCGTTTGGAACCATTTGATTAAGGCTGGATACGGAAAGAAGTTCGATGTATGGGTGCCACACGAGTTAACTCAAAAAAACCTCATGGACCGATTCCATCTGCGAATCGCAACAAAATCGACCCATTTCTGAAGCGGTTGGTGACTGGCGATGAAAAGTGGATCACCTACGACAACGTCAAGCAAAAACGGCCGTGGTCGAAACGCGGTGCGCCAGCGGAAACGGTGGTCAAACCAGGATTGACGGCCAGGAAGGTTTTGCTGTGTGTTTGGTGGGATTGGCAAGGAATTATCTGCTATGAGCTGCTCCCATACGCCAAAACTCTTAATTCGGAACTGTAATGTCAACAATTGGAACGTCTGCAGGTAACAATCGCCATGAGCGGCCAGCTTTGGCCAATAGGAGAGGAATTGTGTTCCATCAGAACAACGTCAGGCCACAGCCATCGATAGTGACTCGCCAAAAGCTCCGAGAGCTGATCTAACTTTTTTGCCAATTGGAACAAAGGTTTCTATGAGAGAGGCATAATGAAATTACCCTTAAAATGGCAACAAGTTATCGAACAAAACGGCGCATATTTAGACCTATATTGAATCATTCTTACTATGGTAATTAAAGCCTTCAATTTTAACTACAAAATAAACTTGATCTTCTGGGCTTTCAGCCAAGATTTAGTATACGTCGACGACGTAAAGCTTTTTAAACCATACTCTTTGACTGATGAAAGGTGTCTGTTGGTTGCTTGGTGTGATAGAATTGATTTGCCATTGAATTTCAATAAATGTAAAACGATGTGCTTTTCCCGTAGATCTGTGCACCCCTCTCCTTATGTAATAAAAAAACAATAGTCTAGAGCAAGTTTTTAACTTTGTTGATTTAGGACCATAAGAATAATTTTAGTCTTCATATTTATACCACGATCTTGAATGCAAAAGGTGTCCTCAGTTTTGTTAAACGCTGGTCTAAAGAATTTAGAGAGCCGCATATTATCAAAACACTTTTTACAGCTTTGGTTAGACCTATATTGGAATATGGTTCTGTTGTATGGAACCCTAGCTACCAAATCCTACTTCTGACAAGTTAAAGTCTGTTCAAAAACAATTTTTACTTTTCGCCTTAGGGCATTTCCGATGGGATTATAGATTAAGTCTACCTTCATACGCTAGTCGTTTAAAACTTATAAATCTACTTACACTTGATAGTCGTACGGCAATGCTTGGTATATGTAGTATTTTTAGTGAAAATATTGAATGGAACAGTTTGCAGTTCTTTTTTCCTGTCTGAAATTAAAATTAATATCCCGGTTCGGTTTTCGAGGCAGTTTAGACCTTTACTGTTAAAATTCTGTAGATTAAATTTCGAACTAAACGAACCATTCCGCCGTATATGTCATGATTTTAATTCTCATTCCTGCATATTTGACTTAGTTGACTCACTTTTCATAATTAAAAACACTTTATTGCTTTCTCTTTTTCCGGTAGCAGTTTTAAATCTCAACAATCTCTTGCCTTTCTGACTCGGCTAATTCCTCACGCATGCATAATCGTTGGACACAACTAGAGACATGTACCCTTGCGGCCACACTATGTACCCTTGCGGTTATACTTTCTTAAATTTTTTTCGAATGTTTTCTTTCTTTCGGGATTTTCTTAAAACATTTGTTTCTATTGTTTTTACTAAGCAGAAGTCAATTATATTATGTTAATTTATTATAACTATAGTCTTTAATGAATAAAACACAAAACATCTTTTCTTTGGTTCTTCAAAAGCGTTCGATTTTATTGTTTTTAAATTAATAACACGACTAAATTTAGTATGTTAATAAAAACAAAAAAAAGAAAACAAAAATTTTATTTAAAGTATAAGTTAAAGTAAAATAAAAAAATATAAAATATAAAAAATTATAAATTTTCCATCGCGTGTCAGTCTCTTATAATACTTTTACTAATTTAGTCTACAACTGAATTTGTTTTTATTTTTTAATAATTTTGATAAGTAACATGTCACTATCTTATTTCTAAATAAAAAATTCAATACCGATATAAAGTGATGCTAAATATGCGTAAATCTTGAAAATTTTGAACGGTAAGTTGTGCATGGCCGCAGGTGTACGAATAAATGTAAGGAATGTAACCATGGCATTTATATTTGCCATAATTACTATCATTTACCATCAAAGTGGTATAGGCTACCGTATGTAGGTACAAATGCAATTTAACACGCCTATCGTGTAAGGCAACTGGTGTGTAGTTGCGGTCTACTTACTCTGGCTACTATAACAGTACTTTGAATTGCGTATGGATATAGATCTCAATAACCTAAAAATAACGTTAGCAACAACGCTTCCTTCAAGTCAACTATCGATGAAAACATGCGTTGATTACCAGAGAGCGCTACCAGAGATTTTTGTTGAAAATTCGATGAGCTCCTTAAGACCGAATTGATAAAACTACTCGAAATTATTGTGTGTTCACTACAAGTGTTGTAAATAAATTAATGAAATAAAACAATAAACAGTTGTGTTTTTACTTATGAAATCGCCTGCATAAAAAATAAAACAAAATGAAATAAACAACATAGAAAAAAAATATATATTACATATTATTGTAATATTTTGCATATCTTTTACTTTATTAATAGACCTATTACGGTTTTCAATTCTACTTGATTGAATTGAAGTTGAAGCAATTCAACTTCAGATCAACACAATTCTTTTTTGGATATTACGATTTTCAACTATCTCAGTCGAAGTTTGATTGGTGTTGTAAAACTAAAAAATGAAGATTCGACAAATTATTAACCACCTGAAAATTTGTATACGAAAAATCAAAACAATTTAATTTAGTTATTGCTCACGAAAAGTTGAATAGTTATTAAAATGGACATTAATTAGTTTCGATTTATATTACGATGACAAAAATGTTGGGACCAAAACTTGATGTGCTGCGCATAAGAAAAGGCCTTAGTGATCACTCAAATTCATTCGAACTTCCAAACACCAAGTAAGCCAAACATTTATTGACCATTAAATGACTTTTAAATAATGTTTATTGCAGATTCATAAGTTATTTTCGTTTAAATGAGGAATCATTTTGTTTTCTACTAAATGAGATAAAGGAGCGTTACAACCAACTCTCCATTTCCTCAATGATTTCAGATATCTATGGTTGTTACAAAACCTTTAAATATTATGAACACATATTTGTACACTGTGGATAAACATCAACGACTAAGGAGGAGTAAAACGCTTCAAATATTTAATTTTACTCAAAAAGTATATTCCTAGGAGTAGTCGATTGTATCGACCCTTTATATTCGAAACACTTCTCGCGGTCTCTTAATTTAATTTTGATGTTTCGAGATTTTACTCCACGAGCTCAAGGCTAAGCTAAGTCAAATGTGGTTTTTTAGACGTGTGGTTTTCATTGAGGCAATACTTTTTTCAGAGCTGGCCTTTTTGACAGCAGTTACAGCCATTTATGAAATGGATCAGACTAACTTACCATCCACAATGATGATAGTCCACAAGCCATTGTTGTATCCTCAAAAAGTCACAATTGGGTGTGATCTATGGGTAAAGGGAATCATTACTCTATATTTCTTTAAAAATAAAGCCGGCCATAATATATTGACTGAACGCTATAGAGCCATGAATAATAAGTTGCCTGGATTGAAAAATGTTGATGTAGACGAACTTTGGTTCCAACAAGTAAGTGCTATATGTCATAAAGCCAACGAAACAATCAATTTAACGTTGTCAAGCTTTTTTGTGCGTTAATTCCTTTGATGGAAATAATATGGGAAGCAATTGATGCACAATTGCGGATTATTCGGGCATTGCGGACAGTATGTGTTTGTACTTTTTGATGAATGCATGTGTATTGCATGTAAATGTATATTTTTGATAGGTTTACTTATGTTTATGTTATGTACTATCTTGGCATTGCGTACCGACTAGGTAGCACCAACGTACGAGTTCATTTTGAACACACAATGAAAACTACAGATCATGACATATTAAAAATGGCCGAAACGACACTTAGAAATCATATCGTCCCTATTGAAAAACCCGATATATAACTCCAAATCTATCTCGATTATTTCAGGTGATACAAACAATCGTTAGGTGTACACAACTATCTTTGCAACATCTTGAAAGAGTATAAAAATTATATTGAAAACAAGAAAAAACAACGCATTTCGTTGAAAAAAAAGTAAAAAAAAAAATAAACCGCAAAAACTTTCGAGAAACTGAATATATTTTCGACCTACAACACTTTTTAACAAAAAAACACCGTTTTTTTGTGGAGTTATGTGACGTGGCTCGTTTATGCGGATAAGCTCGAGATGATTGACCTTTAGGCGGGTTTTTGCTGACTTACGGCCCTTATTGCTGCAAAAAGTGGTCGAAAATTGGGCATCTCGGCTTGGATTTATTCGAAATCGGAATGCAAGGTCGCCTCCACGCGGTGCAGCCTGGGTAATCTTAAATGACCTGCGGCCCTCACGGTCTGTGAAAATTCCTAACGGACCTGACCTCGGATCGACTCGGACTGTAAAAATGGCTGGCGGGATAATGCCGAGACTGCTTACGTCCCGTTAAAACCCTGGCAGGCCTCGGAGTACGTTCCTCTCCCGCCATCATTAAGTTGATGTGGTTGGTGTAAAGTGAGAGAACCCCCTCTTGGCGCTGGTTGACTCTGAACGCATCGCCACATAAGTCCGTGCGTCAACCCTCGCCTTGGCCTTTTAGCAGAGATAACTTTGGGATCATTAAGGCGACTCTGAGTGGGGACTCAACAGACGAAAATAATAAAATTCCAAAACGAATGTGGGTCGGAACCAGGTCACCGCCTGGAATGGGGGAATCGTTTTCCACAAAGAGCAGCGTGGAGGTTGGCAGAACAATGGGCTCGAGTGAGCCCCAACCAACGGTCAAATGCAGAGGTCGCATGAGGGGAATCATCCTTCGGTAAGAAGCATCGCACGGGAGCAGCACCAACTTTTAGCGATATCGATAAACGGGCTGACTAAATAGAACAGGGGGTGTGCGATCGTAGCAGGGAAGATGGAGCCATCTCCCACGAGGAGTGAAACCGCGGTTTTCATGAAGGTGGCCAAAGGAAGCCCCGGTCCACTTCCAAGGTGTGAAAGTGCTGGTTGGCACCACGAGATACACAAGCCAATCAGGTGTGCCGACGAACGGTCGGCCTCTCTGTATAAGGAAGCGGTATCTAGGGTTTGAGAGAACTGAAAGGGAGTTAGACTAGAGGCACTTGGCAAGGTGGGTCTTCCACTGTATCCTTGCTCTTGGCTTCCTTCAGAACCCTCCTCCCCTGAGAAGATGTTACGTTGCTGCAATCCATCTTTGGAATAAGGAGTCCATTGGTCCTCTCACCGACGCAAATGGCTTTGAGAGGGTAGTCCTTAGGATCTTTCTGACCGATGCCAGGGCAGATGTCACCAATAGCGACAGGAGCGAAGGTCGCAGATCCCCAAACGGGTATGGATATGGACTCGTCACCTTCGGACGCAGCGAGCGTTGGGGGCAGATCGTCGACCGATGACTCTGCCTCCAATCTCGAGGAGGTCGTTGTCGATAGTCTTGCAAGTGCGGAACTCGCGCTTTTGGAGAAAAGTTTGAAGAATGGAGATCCTTCAGATTAACCTCGAACACGCGAAGGCTGCGACCACCAATTCTTTCCTTCGTCTTTGGAAGAGACTGACCTAAGGACGATAAGTTATAAACTGCTGGTGGCTAACAGTACAGGTAGAATATGAGCTTGTTTGCAGGTACGAAATGAACTAAATGCTTTCCTTTTACCTAATTTCAGCAACGAGGATGTTGTGATGTTGTGACTGTTGGGGCTCGAATGCAGGCCGGAGAACTCTGTCTCGTCTCGGCTTATATGCCGCACGATGACGAGGTGGAAGTACATACAGTGATGCTGAGGAGGATTCTGGCGGAGGCCCGTCGAAGGAAATATAACGTCATTATTGGTTCGGACGCGAATTCAAGGCACACGGTATGGGAAAGCTCGGAGATAAACGGTAGAGGTGACTCACCTTTTAATTTCATTTGTAATGAAGACCCTTTATATTAAGAACAGGGGGAGCTCTGCCACTTTGTAGCTGCAGGCAGGGAAGAAGTCCTTGACCTCACTTTGACATCAAGGGAAATATATCTCTTAATCTCTGAATGGAGGGTTCTTAATGACCATTCCTTCTTTGATCATACGTATATTAGTTTTAACCTGGACAGAGCACATCCGGTCAGAGAACCATATAGAAGCTTTTGAAACACGGACTGGGACCTTATGATATGAAGCTTCGCGCAGCTCTTTCTGCTGCGCCAGGTCGAAGCTCAAAGCTATCTGCCATCGCGATCGATGAGTGCGTTGGGGTCTTCAGTTCTATATGTAGGTCTGCCCTTGAAAGCTCTTGTCCTCTGAAAACTCAGAATGGAAAGCGGACACCCCTTTGTAGACACCAGAGCTTTTGGAAATCAGATATTCAATCAGAAGAATGTTCAATAATACCTGTAAAAGCGGACTTAATGCAGATTGGGCACTGTGTAAAGCGGGTCTTATTATATATTATATAAGACCGAAATTAGGAAGGCCAAAAGGTCTTCTTGGCGAGCCTTCTGCGGAAAATGTAGAAGGCTTTCGTGATGAGTCTGGAAACTGAGCGGTGAGTAGCGAGGAGTCGCTACGGCTTCTCCTGGACGCTCACTTTCCGCTAAACCCATCTACGGATGAAGTGCTTCTTGAAGAGCTTCAAGAAGGCAGCCTTCTCAGACCTTCTGGACGAGCGCCATGGGCTAGTAACTCTTTTAAACCGTTCAAGGGGACTCGACGGCATTATACCTGCACAGCTTCAGCGTGTAACAAAAGTATCATGCAGTTGGTTGGCCCCCATAAACGCTAACTGCGTCAGATTAAGTCACATTCCGGGGGGCTTGGCTCATGTCACTGCCAAGGAAATTAGGCCTATCAGGAACGGGCTATTAAGTGCTCAGCATGCATACAACAAAGGCTGCTCGGTCGGCAATGCTTTGCACTCGATATTATCATGGCTGCAGGGAGCCCTAATATATAATATAAAGACTTCGCTGTACCTTTCTTCATATCGAAAAGGGCCTTCAACAACGTACGGTCGGAGGCGATTATTGGAGCTCTTAATAAGTTAACTCATTTGTTAAAAGGAAAATTTGTGAACAGCGTCTACGATCTTACCCAAGGGTATCTAAATATGGTTACCAAGGGGGCAGAGAGAAATGGATTAGCCCTAAATCCAAATAAAATTGAGCTAGTTTTATTAACTAGAAGAGGTAAAATATATGATGTTACACTCTCCCGTTGGGATGGGAAGCTCTCATGAAGTAAGAATATAAGATACAAGACTGTTGTTTGGTTCACAGGATCACATTAGGGAGGGGCATCTGCAGTTAAATTTTTTTTTTTAAGTGGGAGTGGTCCCGCCACTAATAGGTTCAATGTGCATATCTCTTAAACCGCTAATGTTATAATAACAAAATTCACTGGAAGCAAATTTTTTTAGCACTTCTATTGACGGTGTGAAAATGGGTGATATCGGGTGACAAGCCCGCCCACTCCCCATATAACGGTAGTGTTAAAAAATACTAAAAGCGCGATAAACCAAGCACTAAACACGCTAGTCATTAAATTTTATCTCTTGGATGGTATGAGATGACTTTATAGTAACCGCGTTCAAAATTAGGCAGTGGGCGTGGCACCGCCCACTTTTGGGTGAAAACCCATATCTTGGGATCTGCTTAACCGATTTAAACCAAATTCGGTGCATATTTCTATGTTATAGTGCGAAAATGGGCGAAATCGGACTACAACCACGCCTATTTCCCATATGACACCATTTTCAATTCCATCTGATTCTTTCACTTTCCACTATGCATATCAAGCAACAATGATTATATCGGGGTAAAACTTTGCGTGAATAATACGTTTAAAGTATGCCACCTTGTGATCAAAAATTGTCTAAATCGAACCAAAACTGTTTAAGCCCCTAAGTACTAAATATGTGGACCCCAGTGCCTATAGTTGACCTTCTACCGAAAATTTCGACTGAAGAACGTTTCTGTACCCAGCAACATGTCGATTTCCTTTGGTATACAAAATGCATCATCGGCGAGCGCTGTATTGTCCGGAATATTCCATGTTAAAATATTGATTTCAGGATCTGGTTGACAAGCAATGTGGACAGATTTGAAATGTAAGTTAAGAAAATAATTTATATTGTTACGATTTAATTTATTTCTATAGGGGAAAACATAAGAATAAAACATTAAATGTCATAATTTTTGAGTTTATGGAAAAAATTCAGATATTTTAAGATGATTTGCAAAACATAATTTAACACCCAAATGCGTGTTTATTTAGTCGATAAGGTGATATATGTAAATCTGTAAAGTAAGCATGTACTTAGGTATACAATCATGCAAGTAAATGCAAGCCAAATTTTACATGCGATTCCCCTGGTACATCAGGTGGATTAATGTGATCTTTTAATATCTTTTCTTTAAATTTTTCGTTTCTTTTTTCTTCCACAAAAAAAGACAAAAATAGCGGAACTCATTGTAAACTTGAATAGACTTTATTTGTTATAACTGAAGTTTATTCAATACTTGCTCCAATCGCCCGCGTTGTCAAGAGTAAAGATTTGGTTACAGTACTGCTGCGTTTTATGCCAGATCTCTGAATTCTGTGCCGTATTCTATTTAGAGATATAGTATCTAATCCCTTTTTAAACAAAATTTGTTTAGCTTTTCTTAGACTGAGCAATGGTTTCTTTTCAAAAAGGAGAACAACAGCTTTGTCCTCACTTTTAGGTGCATGTCACGTGATTGCTTCCTGTGTCTTGCCGTCTACGTTTCTAGTTTTCCCATAATGATCAGAACACCTCTTCATAAATGTAGTACTCGTATTTATTGTAAATACTTTGCAGTTTTTTTAATAGCCCATTTGGGACCTTTAGGATGCTTCATGAGAAAGCTTGAGCACAAATTTTTCTTATTTCACGGCAAGAAGATTGTTGAAAAACTGACCGAATTTTACACTTCAGATCGCAATTAAAAAAAATGAGTGTATTTGGAAGAATTTTTTAACCTAGTGTATTCGCCTTCCTCAAACACTGTTTTCAGAGTCGGTTAGGAAATTTTCCCCGAAGCGGCTTGAATCATACGACCTTTTATATTTCTTTGTCAGGTAAAATTGGAACGAATAATATTTTTAATAATAATTTCTTTTCTCTCTATTTCTATATATTTTAGCCACTCAGTAGTGAAATTTTATTTAGAAACAAAAAAAAGTTTTTGGAAATAAAAATAGAATGTTCATTACTTTTTTATTTCGAAAAATAATAAAATGCCTCTAAAAAAAAAATCACACTTTTTATGAGTTGCAAATGGATATAACCCCTTAACGAACAAACTTTATATGATAAAGTGGCTTTCGAACAAACGAGATGCAAACAATTACACTGATCAATATTTTAAAATAAATATAAGGACATAATGTCGCAAGATACCGTTTATGTGCTTTTACATCCAAACTATTATTAATTTATTTAAAGAATTTATCTACCCACATCAAAAAAGGAAGCATCAGTCAGATTGTATATTAAAATTATAAATGCTTAGTGAAAAGGAAATTCTTTTCATTTTTTCAGAGTGACATCTATTGCGGATCGGCTGAATGTTGAGTTTGCTCTTATTCATAAAGAAAGAAAAAAAGCAAACGAAGTAGCTTCCATGGTTCTTGTTGGAGATGTGAAAGACAAAATTGCTATTTTAGTAGACGATATGGCGGACACTTGTGGTACTATAGTTCATGCTGCTGACCGGTTGGTTGAAGCTGGTGCACTCAAGGTAAATAAAAACTATGTTGTACAAATTATTATTGACTGGCTCTTATAAATATATTAGTAGTATATCTAATATGTACGTAGTTTTTGGTTAACATACTTCAAAAGCCAATCTGTCTACTCATGTTGAATTGATTGAATAGAAATAAAAGATTGGATACATTACAATTTAGGAGGCACATTTTAATCAGCGTGACTCGTCTCATTTAGCCATGCCCGTCTGTGCGCCTGTCTGTCTGTGTATACGCAAACTAGTCCCTCAGAGATATAGAACTGAACTTTTGCACATATCTTTTTCTCCCCATGAAACTGCTCATACGTCGGAACCGCCGATATTGGACCATCATACACCCTACCATACAAACTGATCGATACAAATTAAGTTCTGGTATGAAAAATTCTTTTATTTGACGAGATATCTTCACGAAATGAAGTACGGTTTATTATTTAAGGTAATGTTACTATCTCCGAGAAACTGTTTAGAACGGATTACTATAGCATAAACATAACCATACAAACTGATCGATAAAAATCAAAGTCTTGTATGGAAACTTTATTATTGGTGGAGGGTATTATAGCTTCGATGCAACCTAAGCTAATGTTTTTTCTTCTTTATTTAACCTTTTGTCGTATACTTATAAAATATCTCGCTATCAACCGAATTCGCTTGGTGAACTGATTTTTATATTTATTGTAGTAAAGAGCAAAAAATACAAAAATTGCTATGATTTACTTGGACTATATGCACATAATATAAAATGCGACCTTTTAAATAAATAATAAATATAGTTTAAAAAACTGAAAAGCTCAACACTTTTTTATGCTACAATATCAACCTGATACGACACACTTAGTTTTTGAAAATCAATACACATATGTTTGTATGTTTCGCTTATAATTTCAAAAAACACAACCGCACTCTTTGACTGTTTTTTTTAGTCGCTTTTAGCTGCATAGTATTAAGGGTTTTTCCGTGGTTATCAAAGTATCATTCTTACTTCTCTTACTGTGAATTGTTTTCATACTGATTTTTTAATTAAATAATTATCATATTGTTTAAGGTTTATGCCATTTTAACTCATGGTATATTTTCGGGTCCGGCGATTTCCCGGATTAACAATGCTTGCTTCGAAGCTGTCGTTGTTACAAATACAATACCATACGGACATATGAGGGACTGTCCGAAAATTCAGGATTGAGTAATATTTTTATATCTACCGTGTTCAAACTAACTTTTTACTTTTTCAGTGCATTGATGTTTCGATGATGTTTGCCGAAGCTGTTAGAAGGACACATAATGGCGAAAGTTTCTCATATCTCTTTTCAAATGTTCCGTATTAATACTTCTCACAAATCCAATCCTAAGAAATTATGAAAATATTGTGCAAATGTCACCGTCACTCACAGATGCTTTTCGTTGAAAATTATTTTTGTGTGGAAGCATATTGTAGTTTAAACTATGATTTTATCCAAAACTATTTAAATAAATATAATGTCAACACTTGTTAAATTTAATTTCCAAAATAGTAGAACTTGTTAGGAACAATCCCCAGCCACTCAAATCTTAGTTTTGTTGTTTATGACCCCAAATCCTTAAAATAGTTCTCCAATATCCACTCAGATTTTATTAATTGCTATTGAGTTGTCTAAAAATCGACTTAAATAAAAAGTATAATTAACAAACATGGACTATATTTTCCAAGGATTTACAATTTTTTTATGTTGTAGATATAACAGAAAATTATACATATCACATATTATAAGTGTACTAGTAGATCCGGCCACAAGTTCCTTTGTCTATGGTATACATTAAATACTATAATAATACAGCCCACGCCCACAAAACGCCATTAATCAAAAACAAATAAATTGTCATAACTAAGCTCCGCAATAAGATACAAGACTGTTATTTGGTACACAGGATCACATTAGGGAGGGGCATCTGCAGAGTCCGATTACGCCCATCTGCAATACTAACCGTCTCACGGTACCAAGACCACTTGTCTACCAAGTTTCATAAAGATATCTTAACTTTTACTCAAGTTACAGCTTGCACGGACGGACGGACGAACAGACAGTCACCCGGATTTCAACTCGTCTCTTCATCCTGATCATTTATATATACATAACCCTATATCTAACTCGATTAGTTTTAAGTGATACAAACAACCGTTAGGTGAACAAAACTATTATACTCTGTAGCAACAGGTTGCGAGAGTATAAAAATAAATGTAAAAAGCGAAATAATTATAAGACCAACATGAACAAGAGAAACTATTCTAACTATACGAATAGGGAAACAATTTATAACAAATATATATATTTATTAATATTTATAAGACCAAACACAGTTATTTAACGTTAAAACGTTATGTTCTTATAATTAAATTTTTAGGTAAAATATACAATACAATAATTTGTTTTTGTGCGAACTATTTGTAAAAAAGCCTCGCTTGGGACCAATAAAGGAATTGGAGCAAAAAAAAAAATATTGGCGTGTAGAGAAGAAAACTACTACTAACTACTAGTGAAATACCTAGTCTAAATTAGATAGAAGGAAAACTGTGGTCATTAAATTTCATCACCTTAAAGAAAAATATGGACAAAAGAAGTGTAGTGGAAAAAACCCAATAAAAAAAATATAAATTTTGGAAGGAAGAGTGGGATGGGGTAATATTTTCTGATGAGAAAAAATTTAATTTGGATGGTCTAGACTTAGCTGACCATTCTCTTAGTCACACTCTACACTGGGCACTGTAGGCTCAAGAAACCCCTTAATATGGGCATGGCTTCTTGTGGCAACTGCCGATTCTGCGACAAGGGCCGGAAACACCAGAACTCCTGATTCTAGATTGCCCCGCAATTTGTACACGCAGGCTCAAGGCCGTAGGCTCCACTTATGTGAACAGGGATCACATTGCCTCAATAGCACCCAGCAAGTTGTTGGAGCTTTTCAAGGTGCTGGGACTTTGGGAAAGCATGTGATAGAGGAGAGGGCACAATAGATCCTGGTCGCAGTGTAAACCTCATATTCATTCTATTCTAAGTTAAGCGTCCCGGCCGTCCCAGCCTTAACATTAAAAATTACTCAGTAAACGGAACAAAAATACAACAATGTAGATGGCCCAACCTGTATGTTCTATTTCTACTTTCTACACTCGGTTTGAATGTATTGAATTCTGTAGTAGATTTTGGCGCGAACGTCAGCGTTGTTCACTGACAGCTCATTACTTTCATTCAACATTCAAAGTGAAACATAAGATCATTTTTTGAATTTGAAGCATAAATATTTACGTATAAATATTACGTTTGGCAATATCGAAACGAAAGTGTGTTTTCAATGATAATTTGAAGAAAAAATATTCCGTTTTGAAAGTCACTTAAGACGATTCCAACGTTCCCACAAGTGGCAGCAAATGCTTCTCTTCAAACTTCAATCGTAACCGATTTTTTCATCAGAGAGAAACCAGCTTTGGGAAAAATCATTTGAATGTTGTAACCTTTAAAAACGTAGTTCGAGGACCTTCCTTCACTACTCAAAAAAGCCAGATGTATCCGCTGTTTTTTCAGTAATTCACTATAAAAGCTCTGGTTAATTTTTGTTCATGAACAGGTGAAAATATATTTATTATCTGAAATTTGTAAAAAATCAAGAAATTATTTAATTATTATCTTATTAAATTTAGGCCATGCTTTTCGAAGAAACAATAAAGAAAATTGAAGGCGATGCCATTCCAGCAGTTGTAATTTACAAACACTTTCAACATTTAATGAACAATTTGCAAACATCCAAATAGTAAAGTAGTAAATATTTCATTTTACACCTCAATTTCCTTTTTTTCTCATTTCTAATTGTCTCCAATATGTCAATCAGGTGATTGCTACCAATATCTTTAGGTATGGACTCAACAGTTTGCTCATGTAAAACTATTTCGTTTGGTGCTACTCACTAATAAACTCGACTGGGAAAAAATTGAGAAAACGTTTCCTCACAGAAAATAATATTTTGAAAGCATGAGACACTACTTCACATAAGCGAACAATTCACTTATATTTCTCAGTATATAGGTGACAAACGAATTGATCAATGGAGCAAAGAGCAGACATCCATTGACACACGTTGGGTTCAATGTTTTACTCTTCTGTTGAAGCAAAACATGCCATTCGTTGAGCTTTCAGAGATCTTTGAATATGCTCTGACACTACCAGGAACATCGGCACCAGTGGAACGCATATTTTCCATTATTAACAGAATGTAGACACACGAAAAAACTCGCCTACAAGTTAACACCGTCAAATCGATTTTATTTGTGAAAAATAATTTAAATTTTTCTTGTTTGGTATTTCTTGGGTGCGATTTTAACCCAGAGCTTCTTCGAAAAATGAGTCAAGAGAAATACGTCAGACCGAAGACGTCGTCAACAATCCCGGAAACACCCTTCACATCATCAACTAATATACACCACGGTCGAACCAGACAGTGATTGAATCTTTTTAATATTACTTTGCTTTCTCTTTTATCATTTCCATTCTTTTTGAATAAAATTGTGTTGCTCTCTCACCTATTATACGTCGCAATTTTCAGTGAACTAAATAAAATGTCCCGGAAAAAATATGATCACCTAAGTTTAGATGGTCCCCAAATGTACTGGCACGACAAACGTAAGAAGGAGGAAAGATTCGCGCGCGATTTCGTTAGTGGATGAATTATGGCCCCAATTTGCAATTTATTTTAACGAAAATTAATAGCCAAAAATACATCGAGCTTTTTTATGAAGTACTTTTAAGTTTTGGTGATGTTATTTCTAATAAAAATTAGATATTCAAGCACGACGGTAGAAAAATGAAGATTCTGACCGAAAATTTTTTTTACGTTTTTCGTAGTAATTTCAATGTCAAAATTTTACCCAGAGCAGCAAGATAAAATTTTGACAACTTATGAATATGAATACAGATATGTATTCAGGAATACACGAATTTAATATAATCGCTGCATACATAAGAAGTATGTTATAAAATATGTTTTTTATGCGTAATTATTCATTTGTTTACGTTATTATTTACTCCATTCAATACAGAAAGGATACTCTAAATAAGGGAAGTTCTTGATTCCTTTTGAAGTTTTATTATTTAGCCGCGATATTCAAAATAAAATTAATATTAAAAAATTCAGTTAAAAAAATATTTTTATAGTTGATTAAAAGATCTTAAGGTAAATGTATTTATGTATATATGAAGATATAATTTTATGTACATATGTGTACGGAATGCAAGTAGCGTTGTAGTCACCTAACACGTTGCCTAAATTCTCAATTAATAACGAATCTTCAAATTAATGACTCTTTTCTAGTTTCATCAACATTGTTATTAATTTAAATATTTATTAAAGTCTTTGCTTTTCATTTAATTATATTTACGAATAAATTGAATAATTTAAATAACAAGACAAACATTCAAACGATGCAATGGGGTTTGTTTTGAACTTCAACTGTCAAAATTTTTTTTTCTATTTGGCAAAGCAAAATGTAAAATGGTTTACACCATAGGAAATTTTTGCACCCCAATTCAACACAGGGAAAAATGTTACCGTTTGGCACACAGCCTAAGAATGTTTGGGCAACTATTTTCAAGCTGTAACTTTCAATGTGTAACATTCACACCAAAATTTTTGGTACTTTGGTTTAATTCCAGAAATAAAAAAAATCCTAATTAAAATGAAGTTGGGCACTAATTCTCCACGAACGTACATCTACATATATTTCAACGATTTAAATTAACGATGAAAGCTTTTGTCAAGCCATGCAGCTTAATTAAAACAGCCATGCCATCAACAATATTGATTAACGTTAAAACTATTAGGTAAAACGTCTACTGAAATGAATTTATTACCGAGGACTATATTTAAATCCGCCTGCATTATTTGTTAATAATCTAAGTTATAACTAGATATTAAATTACTGACTGTCATTATTGTAACATGTGACTTTCGTTATACGTTATAGCACATATTAGGTTTTTTTTTTTGTATAAACTATTGCATACTAACCAATTGTCTTTCAAAATATCCAAGCAAATTGCACCAGTAACCGAGGATATATTTGGATGCCAGATTTTTGTTATAAAACGGACCTAAAAATTGATAGGAAACAGTCAAAAAGATGTACAATGGGAAGATGAAAAGGAAATAATTTAATAAAAATAATGTACTTTATATAATTGTACTTATAAAATATGTAATCAACACTCACACAGCCTAACTATGTTACAAACATGCGGTTTAAGTACTAATTGAAAAAAATATAATTTTATCTTTTAATTATCATTGCACAGTAAATAACAGTCAAAAATCCGACAAAAACAGTATCTACCAAATTTTCCTTCTATAAGTATACCAAAACAGCAATAAATGTTAAAACTTACAAGCACTTTATGCTTTTCAAACGGGTTGTTAAGTACCACATCTCAGCTTTTTATCTTTAGTGTAGGACGGCCATTTCGGAAAAGAAACAAGTAAGAAAGAGCTAAGTTCGGGTGCAACCGAACATATTACACTCTCGTATATTGAAAATTTGTATTTGATTGAAGCCGGGGCATATTTTGGGTGTTGATAAAATTTTATATTAAAAAAATGTTGCATAAGAATGCAACATCCATTATTCGTTGAAAACGTGGATGGATTAAAACCATATTCCGCAACAAGGCCATATATTTTAGGTCATAGACTCACATATATTCATTACAAGTACCACCATATTATGCTTCGTGTCTGACTTAAAAGAGATAAACATACTATGTGGTACCAACAGAACCAAAGAGGCTAAATTTATTACATGCATAGGGCATAACATATGGGGAAGAGACATTCAGCGGTAAACCCCATATTTTCTCTAAAATATCACACAGCTAGAAAGTCGGAAATCACTATATCGGGTATATGGCGGCTAGGAGAAGGTCTGGACCGATTACATAAACTTTTGCTATTACTCAAGTAATTTTTCTTTTACGAAGATAACTTAAATACTGACTAACATTCAGCATAAAGTTTTTTTTACATATTTTCATGTAAATTGAATATCTAGTATATAGTATATAGAAGTGTGGTAGCTAATGGCCCGATTACACACATTTTCAGCATTAAACTGTAAGAAGTTCACTTGTTTTGATAATACTGAAGAATTTTAAGCTTGGCTTTGTATTGTACTTCATATATTGGACAAAGGTAACGGGAGTTTTAAATTCTTATATTAGGGGTATGAAAACTCGGTAAGGTAAGTATTACCAGATTTTGTCTATTTTGGGCACCATGATATACTATTAACAAAAAAATCCAAATGATATTTGCAAAAAATCAATTATCGCACTATTAGTAGTTTTCAAATGGCTATTAGACTTTTAAATGGAGGGTGCGCGGGGTTATCACATGATTTCATCCATTTCAAAAAACCGTCTCAGGGTGTGTTAGAAATAATTTTGCTCAGCAAGTTTGGTTGATATAGGTATAGTGGTTTGTGAGATATGTTTAGTAAACTTATTGGGTGATGGGGCCTCGCCCATTTTCCAAGAAACTACAGATGTCCCTTCATACTTCGAGGCCCTGTACCAAATTAGAGTTTTCAATCTTAATGTGTGGCATTTTCATGGCATGACCGTCAATCTGCAATACCAACCTCCGTACGGTGAGAAGGCACACCCGTACTAAGTTAAATAAGATATCTAAATTTTTGCTTAAGTTGTAGCTTGCACGGACAGACGGAGGGATAGAAAGTCACCCGGAATTCAACTCGTCTCGTCAATTCGATCGTTTATATATATATATATATATATCTATAACTCTATACATTTCTCGATTAGTATTAGGTGTTAAAAACAACCGTTCGGTGAATAAAACTATTATACTCTGTCACAACATGTTGCCTGAGTATAATAGAGATAAAAGAACAATAGTGTTCGAGTATGAAAAAAACGCATTTTATAAAAGTGAACTAGACTACTTGGAGAGTTTTGTTCATTGCCATATTTCAAAAAATAAAATATCTTTAAAATAAGAGGAATTATTTGGAGGATCTGAAGTATTAGTTCCATTTATACTGCCCCAGTTTTTATTATCGATTATCTATAATAATCTATGCCGAATTTCGTGAAGATTCCTTGTCAAATTAAAAAGTTTGATAGGTCAGTTTGTATGGCAACTATATGCTATAGTGGTCCAATATCGGCGGTCCCGAGCAGCTTCTTGGGGAGAAAAGGACTGCGCAAAATTTTAGATCGATTTCTCAAACCTCAGGGACCAGTTCGCTCATATACAGACAGACAGACGGACATGGCTAAATCGACTCAGTTCTTCACGCTGATCATTTATATACACACTTTATAGGGTCTCCAACAATTCCTTTTGGTTGTTACAAACATCGTTTTTTAACAGGAAAAACTTACGATAGGCTGCAAAGAGCAGAATGATTCTTTCAATATTAGGAAAAATATTGACGGAAATACATACATATATGCATACATATCTATTATCATCACGATATTTGAATCAATTGAAATTATTAACTCTCCTATAAGATTGGTCGTTTCGATTAGTTTAATAAGCAAAAATCAACTTTGTTGAATTTAAACTTTATAATTACTTTGGGTGGATTAAATGGATATGTTTCCGGGACTTTAATCTCTAAAACAAATTTTCCACCCTCATATGGCGTGTCTGGGGGACCAGCAATTTCTCCTCGCAATTCTGTCCAGCTGTCATTGATTAGTTCAATTTTTATAGAACACTGCACAATCTGAAATGAGTTGTAAATAAAACGTTGTTAAATAAAATAATAGTGACGCAAGCTAAAGCTACATATATGTAGACGTTATTTTTCTTATTAAATACATATGCAGTATGCTCAAAACATCTGAGACTTTATGTTTGTTGTTATTTTAAAAGTCTAAAATAAGTACTAAAAAATTTCAGAATTAAATTAAAGTAATGTTTGCACATGACAACGCCTCCTATGTGATTTCCTTACGTATCATAACCATGAAGGTTTTATAACAATTTTTTATGTTTAAAGCTAAAGCATAAGATGACCTCATAAAAAATGGTGAGTATTTGTTTGTTTCATATTAAATAAATTAATTCTTAGTGTTTTTCCACACGATCACTTACAAGTAAGTTGCAATGTAGCCAAATTACCAATGTTTTTTGCGAGGTTGATTACTTATTTAACTCATACTATATTTACAAGAGCCCATAAATTTATGAAATTAATATGTAAAATTTGGATACAATTGTTAAATGCGTTTTTTAAAGAGTAAATAATACACCTTCATATATAGGTAAAGTATAATATTTACAAAATATTCCAAATCACGAATTGGAAAGCTTTTACAGTAATTAAATTTTTCTTTGTGGTATGTACATATTTTGAAAGAATGGACCAAGTACGTAAAATAAAAAACTTCTTCATACTTCATGTTCATAAAAAGTTGTGAATGAAAATATGTGACAAAGTTATTTGAATCAGCGAAATTAAGTGAGAATCATTTTAGAGCAGCATCAAAAATCCCACGAATAGATTTTGTGAATTAAAAAAAAAAAATATATATGTATACATATATATGTATACATACTGCATTCAAAAATATATACTTATGTAATATTACAGCAATCAATGGAAATGAGGATCAAATAGCATACATTATTTTTACTTCTGAATTATATTAATTTTTAAATAAATACTAAAAATGTTATACAAAAGTGATGATGCGTTAGCTAATTTTCATATTTACAGAAATAGCAAGATAGAAGGTTTGGTTTATCACGGTAACTAAGCGATTTTCTCCGTCGAATGATTATTTTTCCTAAAACCATTTGATTTATGGCATGCTCAGATGCATTTAAATCTAATTAAGTCCATAGTAGGAACAATAGCGGTCTACTGATGAATTCAGTAAAGGAACAAATGAGGTATCGAGACTTCTTTAATCTGGTTAATGGCTGAGTGAATGTTGTTTATTCAGTTTCTTATTTCTGCGGCTTTTTTAGGAATAAAACATTGAAAATAATTGCTTTCCGCGACTTACAACTTTCATTTTCAAATTATCGAATAAAGCAGTAAATGGCTAGTAGGCATTAGCGAGCTCTGTACTTTTTTAATATCCGCAGACATATGCGAAGTGCAGACTATCGAAATTTTGGTATTAACTGTCGGAAACTCGACATCATGGACATAAATGTTTAGTATGCATTCCTTCATACAGTTTATGAATAAAGTAGCTGAGGACTTAACTAAATATAATGCGAATCTCCAATTCCAGTTCGTGCTATCATCGGCGTATGAAGCAATAGAAATTCCCTTTAATGATTGGTGGAGTTTCGAAATATCGAACTTAAACAGTAGGGGGGAGAGGATACCCCCTGGCAATCCGCCGTTCAATGCTTCCTAATTTTTGTTTTTATCTTGAAACATTTAAATCATGGTCAATTTCTTTAGTCTTGGAGAAAGCCTAGATTGTTCAATCTTTTTTGGTAGCGTTGCGAGGCCTAACTGTTTAGCATCAACGTGCTCATGCCGTCCGGGTCGTTGAATTTGGAGTCTTTTGTCTTCTAGATGACATCTTGAACGCTGCGCAGTCTTTTGGCTTTTTGCGTAACCGGCGGAAAACATGCGTTTTTGCCTTTTTCACTGAAAGGTGCAGTATGAATTGCTAAAATAACTCACGCTCTACTATGAGTCCGAGGAGGTATGACCATCGATTTGAATATCAACTATCAACGGATTGCACTGATATTTGAAAGTTGCCCAGAGCTTAGTTTTTTGGCCGTTTATGATTATTTGCTATTTGTCGATTCTCCGAATCGAGATTCCTTATGTGGTGATCACAGACATCAACCGCGTAAATGAGCGCCATTCGCTAAAACTCTAGGTGGTTGTAGATGCTGTGGTATCCACAGTGGCGGTTGTCGTTCAGTCAGATCAGTAATTGTATCTGACTGATGTGATATTCTGCCATATTACGGTCTGACACACAGAACAAACGGTGAGAGGGACCAGAAGTTGCCTTGTGATTATTGCACGGAGATTGGACCAGCCTGTCTACAACGGGGGCCTTTATAACTGTCGCACTTGTTTGAAACTTCGTTAGGCTGAGCCAACTAAGTTTTTTCGTTATACATCTCTATTGTCACATATATTTTGAATATACGCAACATAATTTTAATTTTAAGTATACAGTGCGTTCCAAAGTAAACAGGAAGACAAAACAAATGGTTTTATCGGCAAAATCAATTAATTTTATTCAGAATAGTCTCCTACAGCTTTTTGCACTGTCCAAAAGCATGTCGAACGAGTGTTTTAACTCGTTGCCCGGTATGGCCGCCTCCACGTCTGCATAACGTTTTCCTTTCATCGGCAAATGCATTTTTCTGAAAAGGTAGAAGTCGCACGGTGCCATATCTGGTGAATACGGGGAGTGGTTGATTATTAAAATGTGATTTTTGGTCAAATAATCGGCCACAAGCGCCGATCGATGAGAAGGCGCATTATCGTGCAACAAACGCCAACTTCCATCTTCGTGATATTCGGGCCGAACACGTCGAATACGGCGCACCAAACGCTTCAAAACTCCAAGGTAGAATACCGCATTAACGTTTTGGCCGGGTGGAACAAATTCTTTGTGGACAATATCCTTGGAATCATAAAAACAAATCAAAATTGTCTTCACTTTTGACTTCTCCAGACGCGATTTTTTGGGTTTCGGCTCATCCGGCGCCTTCCATTCAGCACTCTGGCGTTTCGTTTCGGGATCATATTGAAAACACCACGTTTCGTCAACAGTCACAATCTTGTAAAGGAAATTCGGGTCTTTTTTTGCCTCTTTAATGATGTCCTTTGAATGTTGAATTCTGAGAAATTTTGGAGATGTTCAATTCTATTTCTATGAATTTCCATGATGATTTCGGCTGATTTTTTAGGAATTCACGCACAGTTTCGATGGAATTTTCGGTGATCACGGATTTTGATTGGCCCACATGTTCATCGTCATTTATGTCCTCACGACCACTTTGAAAACGTGGAAACCACTAGTGCACTCTGCTACGGGATAGGCAATCATCGCCATAAACTTGTTTCATCAATTGAAACGTTTCGGTTTCGGTTCGGTTCGGTTTAGTTTTACCAATTTTTTAAACAAAATTTAATGTTGGCTCTTTGTTCGAAGCTCATTTTCGCACCGATGACAAAAACATTCTGACACTAAAAACGTAATAAGTTCACTTCCAATAGATGAAATGTCATGAAATTTTTACTGGAAGTCGATATGAGATAGCAGATTTTAACGCACTAGTCGACATATAGATGGCGCCACTAGAGTTTACTTTGTTACATTTTACTGTTTACTTTCGAACGCACATTGGTATTCATTATTTGTGAGCAATGGAATAAAAAAGAGAGCTGGTGAAAAAGTTATATTTTCAAGGAAAAACAAGTAAAATTGTTAAGATCCTCCTTTGATGTTAATCAACGTACTGTGGCTCAATTTAAGAAAAGTGGTAGTGTTAAAATATCAAAAAAAAAAGCTTTTCGTGTTACAAGTAAGCCACAACTTACAAACTTACCGCTTTTATCAACGAGTATGTCTGATGTTCCAGCTGATAAAAAGCTATTGAAAGGTATCAAACCACAACCCCTATTATAGTTTGGGGAGCCAAAACATTCAGCCATCATTGACAAAGGCGTAAAAATTAACGCAACATATTGTTTGGAGGAAGTGCTTGTTGGACAATTCTCTGCTCATGTATCCAGTCTGTTTGGCAACAATCCATACTGCTTTCAACAAGATTCTACTCCGGCTTATAAAGCAAGAATTGTTCAGCAGTGGTGCAAAGACCATGTGCACTGTTTCATTTTAGCGGATGTATTCCACCCTTCATGTCCGGATGTGTAACCGGTTTTATCCAAACGTGTTTGTTGAAGTCGGTAGTCAAAATTTCTCGATGACTTATGAACCGATCGACTTGAAATTTTGCATATATCTTTTAAAAACGTTAGATTACTGCTTGAACGAAACATTTGTTTCCATCAATTACAATTCGGTTGAAAGGGTAGAGCATATGGTTTGCGAAGAACGCAAAACAAAATTTTGGAGTTATCTTAAAATCCTTCGTTATAGCAGTAGCTATATTACCTACTAAAACGTTTTTTGATTTCAGATAAAAATTGCCTAAGTTACAGTGACTACCGTGAGGAAACTTTTCTAACAGTGACGTTAGATAAGCCGCTGTCAACGGCTGAATTTACAATATTTCTTAATGCAAATTTATATACATAATGTTAAAATTATATACACATATGTACATACGTGCAACAAGAAAAAAATATTATACTGATTTTGTAGCTTCAAAACAACATCCATAAAAAGGACCTAATTTTAAGTTACAAGACCCATGTAACCCCTTAAAGTTTAAGCGTCGTTTGCACAGAATTTGGGACGAAATTCCAGAAAAAATTGTGCAAAACTGTGGGAAGCTTTCAAAAGCAATGAAAGGATAACGATTTTAATTAAAATTACTGAAAACTGTATAGTTTAACTAATAAATAAAACAAGGTTTCATCCTAAATTTGATATACATTTGAAATTTTTTGCGAAAATAGGTGCGACAAATTTTAGGACCCACGCTGTAGTTGAGCCCCTAGGGACAGTGAAGGCTATTTGTTGGCCAGTCGAATAATTGCTCCTATTGCCGTATTTTTATACCCAAAACAGGCTTTATTAAGTTTGCCACGAAGTTTGTAACACCCAGAAGGAAACGACATAGACCCTAAAAAATGTATATATAAGTGATCAGAATGATGAGCTGAGTTGATGGAACGACCGATAAGGGACCTCTACAGCATATAGCTGCCATACAAACTGAACGATCGGAATCAAGTGTTTGTATGGAAAACTCTTTCATTTGACGAGGGGTCTTCACGAAATTTGGCACGGTATAGATCGAATTAATATAGCATATAGCTGTCATACAAACAGTACGATCGAAATCAAGTGCTTGTATGGTAAACAAATTTTTTTTATGAGGTATATTCAAGTTACAGAGTACACGTTCTTGTTAGGAAACTTTGTATTTGTGAAGGGTATTGTTGCAACCGAAGTTCACGTTTTTTTTTTTGTTGGTTTAATACTTCGTTAAAATTTTACACCACATTCTTTAAGTAATGGTTTAAATAGATTTTTTCCGTGTCGTCACAAAAACATGCCTGTTTTTGCACAAATTAACCCTACTCCTTAACTTAAAGTAACTTACTTCCTAACTTAAAGTAATCCAAGATAAACAAGTATTTTAAGTCAAACAAATCTATTACCATAGTCCAAAGTACTCGAACCGTAAAAAGACATTGCAAGCATCAGAGCTGCAAAATAGTTACGAAACAGACATACTGAATTGAAAATAAGAAATGTAGAGGAGCAGAAACCAAGGCGGAGCAAAAAATTTAGACCCACAATTTAAAATTATTGAATATAGGTTGAAAATAAGTACAAAAGATTGATTTTGAGGCAAATTTTATGAACTTTTATTATATGGGAATAGTAGTTTAGAAATGTAAAATAAATACAATATTAATCTATGATAAAGAAAATAAAGAGGAATGCAAAAAAAAAATAAACATCTATGTATCATAGAAGATAATTAAACATGATGCTGGCTAATTATTTTCGAGAGATAAGCAAAAAAAAAGGAATTACTCAATTTTTCGAGCCTCCAAAATCGAAAAATTTGCCTATGAATTTCGAAATTAAACTTATTTCAACCGTCATTATTAATTATAGCCTTCAAATTAAACTGTAACACCTAATATAACCAATCGAATGATAAATACATATTCATGGTATGAAATGGAAATGTTTTTGTAATTTTTTTCAGGAATATTATCTTTGTTTTCAGTGCCGTTTTTTAAGGGTTTACCTGAAATGAAAATTTTGAGGAATGTACGTATAGGTTTATTATATATGTATATGTTGGCTATTAGTCAACTTGATGATAACAGAAAATTTGTAATTGCGTCTATTTATTTTATATGTGTGATATAAAGCCTGACTTACTTTATCTGGTGATATCATAAAGGTTAAAAAAAAGGAATTTGTTCTACTTGCTCAATATTTGAGAATTATTTAATCTTGAAATGAAACAGAATAAAACAATACCAACCACAAGATATGGTAATACAATTTACAATTTTTTACTACGATATCTTTTGAACTGTTGTCATTTCGCTCGTTAATTGTAAGTAAGGATTAAAGACTAGATTTTAACAACCCAAATCAACTAATTTTCCGAAGTTCTTTAATAAAATGCTATCTATAAATTAATCACCGTGGTTTCTTACAACCACATACCGTTCCCATAACAGTCGGGTCTACGAAACCGGAACGGACCCGGATTTTTTCCAGCCAAGGACTGTCAACTCGACAAAATTCTGCCGTTACAACAACAACCACATACTCTTGTTTACCAATGGAAGTAAGACCACAGGTATAACATTTTAAAAAAAATGTATTTAATTTATTGAATTCGTAATTTTAATGATAAGGGAGGATTTATGGATTCTAATTGAAGAATACTGGAACACATATTTCTAGATATTTTGTACTCACCACGATACATAAGTAGTATGTAGTCTGTATAAAGTCAACCAAAAGAACTAAATTCATTGTTTTGGATGTATACGCGAACAAGGAATGTATGATCAAATTAAAACTACTTTAACTACTTATTTTATACCTTTTTATTACAAATCAATAAAAAAAGTAATATTCGCTCGGGTTTAGAATAGCATCCCCCGAATTCGGGGTTAGAATGGGTAGGTGCGGACAGAGCGCGCTCTCCAGATTAAAAAATTATATAAATATATGTGCCGTTGACTTATTACTAACTAAATTTGACAAAGTTTAAATGCAAATATCTCAAAACGCTAAGGCAGCGGCAACTGTATATATAAATAATGTCTTAATCTGGAGAATCTCCTCTATCCGTACATACCCATTTTCACCCCGAATTCGGCGGATGGTATTCTAAAATTTACCCTAAAATAAATGTATAGAAATGAATTAGTAAAGTGTAAGTGGAAATAAAAGCTAAAAATATAAGTGTAAATTTCGTTATCAATTAAAGAAACACGCACTTTAAATAGTTGAATTTTTTTTAACTTTAAATCCAAATATTTCAAAAACTATAAGTCAGCGGCAACTAAATGTATTTTCTTAGTCGGGAGAACCTCCTCTTTCAGCACATACCCATTTAACCCCGATTTCGGGGAATGCTATAATAAAATTTACCCAAGAACATTATTCTGATATATATTCACAGAACTTATTATTTAATAAAATAGCTGTTTCCCAATTTACTATGGCTGCACCCACCATAATGTTGTTGCTACTGTGTATCTTATACTAACTCCAATCCAAGATGTGAAATATTACATGGAAATATCCTAAAATTTTTCCTCACCATTTAACATCATGTTATACTTACTTCTTCACTTCTCATAACTTCTTTGAATTCCCGCTTTATACGAGAAACAGCCATGTTTGCCATTTTGTGGTATAAAACTTAGTATATTCCGGTCAATTATTTTTCTTGTGCTAAAGATATTCGTATTTGGAATAGTTTAATAATTACTCAGTTTACAATTTGTTAATTTTGACCTTTATTGAATTTTTAACTAAGTGTATGAAGCGAAATGTCAAACAGACAAAATCGTTTTTAATCGATATAATAATATAGGATAGACTTCTTATCGTTTTGAAATTTAAAGTTGCCAGAACCAAGGAACTCTGAGACGAAATCTATTACATTATGCTGCAAGCCAACTTTTGTTAGAATCACGCGTAGGTTTCAAGAGAGCGCTAAATTTTTAAAGATTCTTAAGATCGAATTGACAAAATTAAAGGAATTAACCAACACTCGTGCGTTACCGCTTATCCTTTTCATAATCATTCCTTCAGCTTTTGGGAATATAAAGGGTGTTCCAATATTATCGCAAGATTTAAATTTGCCGCCATTTATGTAGTAAAGTGCTGACAACCCGAAAACAAACAAATCGACACCTGGCAGTTCAGGCTTAATAAAAGTGGAGCGTTACGTGATATAAGAACAATTCTTCATTTTGTACAATATTTCAAATATAATGAAAGTTTGGAGGCCACAGTTCGAAAATTTTATACAAAATATGGTCGGAATAGCATTTAAATACGTCTATCGAGACTCTCTTATTTTCCTTAATTTTTCTGTCATTCTCTTTCCCTGTTTATTAAGATTAGGGAATTTTAAAGAACTGATATCAAAAAGGGGGGGATCCCAGAAATAAACCCGCTAAAACAGTACGAAACGAAATTTCAAGGAACGACACAAAAACTTTTGAATAACGTGCAACTAAAGTTTTTTTGCTAATTTAATTTAAAACGTTAATCATAAAACTATGATATTTTATTATGACTTGTATTGTTTCTTCGTTATAGTTTTTTTTTTATATATATTATATATTATTTTTTTATGTTATATGATGTTTTAAAAATTTTATAATATGAATACAAGTACTTTGGGATGTATATGCGTGGTATAGGCCTACTCGGGAAGCGAGCACCTAAAAATAATATCGAAATGCAAAATACCCAAAAGCTCTTTTTAAAATACCCAATCCATTTTCTTTCGACAGTGGTATGATTGACAAATGTTATAAATATATGTGGGTTTTGCCAGCTCTCTCTCTCAAATCAAAGAGTTTCGCATCATAATGCCATGCTTAGTTTCATTAATTTTAGATTGAAAATTATAAAAAACATTTATTAATTGAGAGTTAATACATATGTTTTTTTGAGTAAGTATTAAAAGTTAAAATATCAATTGTTTTAATATATTACAGAATAACAAAAAAGGGTTTAAATAGTTGCTGCATATGTTTAACGGATACATGTATAATAATATATAATCTTAATAAATGTTAGGTATTTTAATTTAAATTCCCAAAAATTATTATTGTGTCCGATCTGGCTACAATGGAAAATGTTATGAAAAACGCTCATTTTGAGGCGCTTTCACACTGGAAAGAGTTGGGCATCCCATTATCCCTGATTTGAACTGTTGAATTTGACTAAGAGCGCAAATTGATGAAATTTCAACAGCACACATCACCAATACCTCGGCTAAAAAATAAACAGACCTATCTTTACAGAACTTCAACAACACAAGCAGACAATTGAACAAGGACGACATGAGTTTTTATAACATTTGTCAATGTTGCCACATGTTAGGGATATTTTATTAAATTTTTGGGGGAAATGTAATTTCCACACCACCCCTGAGATATACAAAAGGCGCGTTACCGAAGTTAGTTTTGGGTGCTCGGTTCAATACAATATAAAAATATAAAAAATACATCATATAAGAAAAAACTTAAAATTTTATAAACAAAATATCACAATTCATATAATATAAGCTGTTGACAACAAATATTTGTAATAAACAATGCCTAATTTTTGCATATTTACATATATAGAAAATACCCTACACCCAGTTTTCAGTAATTATATAATAATATAATATAATTATTTAGTTAGAACTACAAGGACCGAAAATAAAATAAGAGCTTTGAAAATAGCTTTATATTTACACTTATATTTTATAATTAAAGTACTATTTACATCTACTACCCTAATAAAATTTATTAAATATTAATATTCTATTTTCTAAATTATATTACAAATAGCAAGTATGCTATATTTATTATTAGGCAATAAATTGCATATAATTATTATTAAAATATGGAACACTTCATGAAAAATCACTTCTAATTTAAACGAAATAATTATATTTTTCTACTAGTTAAAATAATTTACGAACCTGGATCCATTCTTATTAGGGAAATTGAAAAAACGTCGCGCTCTTACGCACCCAGCCACACACCGATGTTTACATTTTGGCATTTTCCTATAATTTGTTAGGAAAACATAATATAATTAATAATATTTTATATAAACACACTTATACAAGTATGTTATATATTATTAAAAACAATATTACTTTCACTGCTGCTGCTTCAGCATAAAACTTTCTTATGAAAAAAAATGAACTTATTTTGTCAGTTATTTTTAACGGGATTTTATCTGGCAGTTCATTTCTTTGCTTATCATCTGTTCGGTAGTACTGTGGGGCTCTTTTGACCCTCATTTTCGGCAAATTCTCTGTTTGTGTCGCTCTGTACATTCACACGAGCAAAAAGAGTCCATTGACTCATCGAGTTTTTCTGTCATTCCTTTTCATAAACTTTTTGCAAATGGTTGTGCGGTTCGGCTACGCGACACTTAGAGTATGTTGCATATTTCATTAGTATGTTGGGATGATCTTCTCACATTTTGCTTGCAATGAATTACCATGAATGTGGTAGAACAATATGCATAATACCTACCCGCTTAATAGTTTCAAAGAAATATTAAGTCGGGAATTACCTAACCCCCCAGAATGTATGGAATACCCGCTACTAATATTTTCAAGGTCAAATTTATAACAGGAATTTTCTAGTCTTTTTTTCCATTTATTATAGAACATCCTTGAATTAATTAATTCTTGTTTTGAAATGATATTGGAACTAAATCCTAACCGCAAAGTATTTATATGAAATTATATGTTATTAAAAATTTAAATTGAATATTTTTGAGTATCTTAATTTTTTCCTCATTTACAATTTTTCAAAATATTTCTATTATTCTATGCCATATTACATACAAAAAGTAGATAACAGAATTCAAATTTGTGAACGAATGGTATATTATATAATATATTCATTTGAAACCGAGCGCTCTTGCTACCGTTCAAAGAATTTGATAGTGAAAAGGAATGCTAAAAAGGGTAGCAGCGAGCTGTTACGAACAAGAACACAAAGCGTGCCACCCTAGCACGAGTAGAACTAGATATACGCTTGGAGGCAGCTCGTCCCTTCAACTACGCTGTCATATACAATAGCAGTGCTGGAGGGAGTATAGAATCAAGGATGGAACAGATATTCTAAAGTAGCAGCAACGAAGCGGGATGAAAAAGTGATGAGTATATACCAAATGATTCATTCTCACCTGCTTGTCAGTCACAGTCATGTCGCAACAAAACATAAAAAGGAATGCTGCAACTCTGACGTGACCAACTCTTGTAAGTTGAGTGTGAGAAAGCAAGTTATAGCACCACTGCATGTGATGATCACTGTCGACAACTTTTTGGCTCTCAAATAGCATGAACCCCTGCATTCACAGTATGGATAGAAGCCGTACTGCGCACTAGGATAGCTAAAACCACCCTAAGGGATATTAGAATTTGTCCCGGCACGTACTTGGTGGATTTCTATCCCCCTTATTATGGAGATTAGTCGTAGATGATCTGCTTGAATTGCTAACCATTAGGTCGATCTACACCATGATCGTCAATGCGTACGTGTCATGCTGGTACTCACAGCGCCTTACCTAGAAATCAGTCAAGCACACAATGCTTCAAATAATAACAGAAGAGTTTGGCAAAGGGAAGGTAATCTCGCCCCACCAAATGAGGGTCCTAAGTGATGAAATATCACTGGCTCTTCTCCCAAGGGACAGCATTACCAAAATGGTAAACTTCACAAGGAAGTTTAAAGTTACCCTTGGCAGCAAGACTGAATGGAATGACTCCACGCTCGACCTACTGCTTAGGGATAGCACAATCAAGTGGTACACCGACGGCTCGAAAACGATAAATACTCATACCATAAAGAAGTTGCTCCGGAACGAGGAAAGTGTCGACGGGAAGAAGTATTTGCAACAACTCCAAGGCAAGCGGACGGCAAAGTTGCTAATGGGTGGTTACAATCTCACTGGGTTTGAAAATGTAACCAACCTCATGAAAGACAAATTCCGGATACTTATCTCATTTTACACCGGGCACTACAAGCTTAAGAAACACCTTTTTAATATGGGTCTAGCCTTTTGTGAAAACTGCCGGCTCTGCGACATGTAGCCGGAAACTTCCAAGCACCTGGTGCTAGACTGCACAGAAGTCTGCAGACGCAGGATTAAAGCCCTTAAAACCATGTAACCGAATAAGGATCACATCACCGCAATAGACTGCGGTGCAAATCTGAATTTAGATATATTTATCTATCTAGAACTCGTTGGTTGATAACGTCATACATGATGTAGTCGAGCATCATGTAGGACGTTATCAATCGAAATATCTTTGGACAAACCTCCTAGTGGCCTTCATCGACGTGGAAGATGCTTTCAATAACGTACTTTCATATATCGCTTTTTTAATATTAATGGATATGGATATTTGGTATCATAGAAAGTACTAAAACAGGTGCAGCAGGCCTGTTTCTTGAAGTAACGAGCGCTCTGAAATCCACCGCAACAAAGGATCTGGAGGTCATCGCCGATAGCCTGCTAATACACCAGCATGCTCAAGGTTTCGGATTATTGGAACTAGGCTAAGCGTTACTGCGGTCATAGCATCATATTCGATCTTGTTACAGAAAGTAGCTTACTCTACGCTACCAGAATTCAGACTTTGAGTACAAAATTTGTTAGATTAACAGTAGGCGTCAAGTGAGCTCAAATAACAAGTCCATTAACATTCGTGAAGATAACCAAGTGACAATAAGTGCTATACACATGGCGGACGCGAGGTCTCACTGCGTAGGATTATGTAAGGAAGTAATATAGACTTTCAGTGGTAAACTTGGTAAGCATCATCTGCTCATATACTTAGGTATAGAAGGAAAAACGTGACAGAAGAGTTGACCCGCTTCAGGAAACTGGGAATGCAGTTCCCTTAAACTGTCCTAGATCCTTCAGCTCTTTTAAAGGTTGCTTGGACGGTAGAGGAACACCATCAGGATAGAGCCTTCTACAAAAGTACATTGGGGTAGTGTTGATAATGGGTAGACCAAAAGGTTTCTACTTTTAGGTGAGGCAGTACTAAGTAACATTTTAGGCGTTATTACACGTCATTTA